ATTCCTCTGTATTTATATCGTTTAGTGTGCAAACAAAGCTGTCAGAGAATAACTTATATTGGACATCAAATCACATATAAACACCTTCAGTTGTAATAAATAATGGTTAAGGTATTATGAAATGTAACAGTTAATATCATTATATGTTATTCTTCGACTGTAATTGTGAGAAAGGAAAGACTTGATATATTTGAATTATTCATTTCGACATATTTTTATATGTTTTAGAGTATTTACATACAAAAAACAGAACTCTCTATCTTACTTTCTTATCTTTCCACCAGATTTCAAAGTCGTTATTTGTCTGAAGGCGAGCTGTTTCTAAAATGTTCTGCAAGTGTTCCGTCTCGGTTTTGAGAGCTTTCAGTCGAGCGAAGTTTTCTTTGTATCTGTAACATAACCAGTTTTGTAGGTAGAATCAAATGTAATTTTGCCACATTGTGGTTCTACCACGTAATAAGATTGACGACGTACGTTATCTCGAAGAGGAAACCTACTGTCCATTACTTTGAAAAGGATATATATATATAATGTTGTCCATTACTTTGAAAGAATATATATATATATATATAATACTGTCCATTACTTTGAAAAGGATATATATATATATATAATGTTGTCCATTACTTTGAAAAGGATATATATATATATAATGTTGTCCATTACTTTGAAAATGATATATATATATATAATGTTGTCCATTACTTTGAAAGAATATATATATATATATATATATATATATATATAATGTTGTCCATTACTGTGAAAAAGAATTATGTTGTCCATTATTCCTTCGGAAGTTTCAGATCTTAGCTAAAATATGTAAATTCGTTAGATGATGTTGATCTGTTCATCGTGATATATATTATTTTTCATTTTCATCATTTACTCCATTTGGTTTAATAAGTACATCATCATCGTACAATCTAAACCATGGGTAAGCAACCAAATTTTTTCCTGGCCATGGATGTGGCCAGTCGATCAGAGAAACGGCTACACTATTAATAAAACAGAACATTTTCGCTAAATAAATTTATTTCAGGATTCTAATAATAGTCAAGGTCAATTATAAACACAACGCAAAAGTACAAAAAAATAATAATTTTTCAAAATTACAAAAGTGTGAAATTTCAAAGGGAGATTTGGCATTCTTTTTATCTGACCAGCTAAAAACACACTATCGATGATTCTACGAGTTGGCCACGCATTTTTGCGAAATGGCCAAATATGGCCATTGGCCAATGGGCTGCCCACACAGTATCTAAACAATAGGCATAAAACCTATTTAACTAATGCGTTTAAAATACTTACTTTTTCTTCTCGTCCTCTAGCCTCGACCTCAAGGCTTCTTCATTCAATAAAGCTAAAGAGTCGTGATCTAAAGATAGACATAAAATATTAAATAGTGTACTAATTTTCGTTGCCACGAATATAGGAACACCACTTACATAATACATCATTTTAAAAATCAGATTACAGCAGGGCAGTATATAGTGATATAACCTAGAGCAATATAAATTTTCATGTCTTTCCTTACAGAGCTATGAAATCGTTTCAATAACTTGAAGACAACAGTCATTCGAGAAAAAAAAAATTAATAAAAGTTGGAATGAAAAAAACTACCGTATATATATATATTGCCAAGTTGATGAATTCTTATACTAATTCAAACTGTAGTCTACAATTAGACACAAGCCTTTAAGCTTCTGAATGGTCTTAAAATGTTTTAGCATCTTTCTAATTATCGTTACAGCGACAAACATATATGGTATTCAGGTACACAGATGTCTGACAGAGAAATTTAAAAGTATCTGCATGTTGCAGACTCAGGAAATGTCCGGAAGATCATAATTTAGAACTTGGCTGGTCTTTTTTTTTTGTTATATAGTGACAACAGTGGCTGCTGAGGTTGAGAGGAATCTTTTTCTACTCAGTTAAGCAAAGTAAAAGGACAAATGGGATCCTGATTTACTACCCAAATTCATACAAAACGTTAAAGCACGGTGTACTAGAATCCAACGCTGTATAATACGCTACCGACTATTCCAAATAACATTTACAAAGGAAGAAAAACCCTAACTCATACCACTTTGTACAAGAATCTGCACCACCTTTTGAGATGGGATCGCCCCTTCCAGGGCGGTTAGAAACAGGGCCAAAGTTATATGAGTTTCTAGCCATTGGCCGCATATGTAAGTTTTGTCCGAGTAAAAGGATTACTAAATTTATATGGTATTTTTACATTTGGTAAAGAAGAATGTCACAACTACGTGCAGAACACCTACACGAAAAACAAAACAAGAAAACCAGAATATATCAGACGAAAAGATATATTTTAAACTATTTACGGAAGAGTGAAACTCGTGACTATTTCAGTCATTATGTATGATTTACTGGTGCTTTGCTTATTCACTTAACAAACTAGATGAAATTGATAGTTATTTTAACAAAGGGAACAATGTTCCTTTCCGTTCCCTCCAAATTTGTATACTCATCTTCTATAGACGTACCTTGAAGTGGTTCTCCATCTCGAAGTGCTTGAATACAATATTTGATCCGTTCTGAAAAATAGTTGTCGAACTTCAAATAATTGTTAAATGGAGCACGATTATGATGTGAAGTCTATTACAGTTTAATTTTGTCATGAAATGAACTTGTGAAGAAAATCGAAGGACGGATTTATTCAGCACAAAGTTATTTATAAAACTTACCAAATGGTATAATGGAACTCAACGACTATACGTGGGAGAGCGCTAGCTGTTCCATAACAAGTTGGACCTCATATTACTAACAGTCTTTCACAGGTTTACGTTAGTATTTTAGTCATTGTTACAAATTTCTTTATTAATAGTATTATTACAACAAACACCACATATATAAATCTTTACAGGAATAAAATTTCGAGAATGAAACAGGTTTTTTATTTCAATTATTGCTTCTCTCTTCAGATTGAATTTATGTTTATACTTTACTAATCAAGGCTCGTTAAATAATAATTTTTATTGTTAATTCGAAACTACACAATGGAGTATCTGCTGTATGCCCACCGCTGGTGTTGAACTCGATTTTTAAAGCTATAAGCCCGCAAGCCTACTGCCGAGCTGCCAGGGGACAATATACATCGTTATACCTTGGGTTAGGCCAAACTAGCAGACTTTGTAGGTCTCGTTGAAAATAGGGTTTCGATACCCATGGCGGGCACAGCACAGATAGCTCATTGTTTTGCGTTTAACAACAAAGAAACAACACTGAAATAACACAAGCTTCATGCTAGATAGGTAGCTTATAATAGAGGGAAAAAATGTTCTTATACTTATGACATCGCTATTCTCGTAAACCTGTTGACCTAAGCTCTTGGCTTCTTTATAACGAAGTTGGATTGTTTGTTGGTTTTCTTTGATCATTTCACTTTGTCCATAATTCCTCCAGAATATGGCGAACGCTTCTTTCATGCCTTATAAACAATTTCAGAGATACATGTTATTATCATATAATATTTATGATATGCATATTATTTTGTTAAAGTTTTCATGACGTGCATAATATTATGACATATTATTCATTACGTGCACATTGTTGTTATAAAATATTCATGACATGCATATTATCAAAAATAAAAAATTCGGTGCTTGTGAGTTAAAGCAATCGATAGTTTATTATTGTGGTAGTTGTCAGTATAAATATAACTCTATAAAGTTTGTTTCTTCTTAATGTAGCTTGTAAATATATAGGTAATTTAATAATATTAAACATTCTAAGGAATTTCACTTTGGGGAATAAAAACATTCATCCATGCCTTATAAAAATGACATGCATAATATTATTATATAATATTCATGACTTGCACATTTTTATCTTAAAACTATCATGATATGCACATCGTTGTTATAAAATATTCATGGTATGTATATTAATATTATCATCATACACTCATAACATGTACATTATTATTTTCATGACATGCACATTGTTGTCATAAGATATTCTGCATTCATGAGGTGATATAAGTGGAAAATATTAAAGGATCGAAATATTATCAGTGCAACAATAACTTGGAATGTTTTACATTATTTTTAACCATAGAAATGTCTTCCGAACGACTGGAAATTTAATTAATTTCAAATCTTTATAAAATTAAAGAAAACAAAATTAAAAAGTAGTATAAAGTTGTGCAAGATATCAATAATCTTTGAGAGAGATACTGTGGATTTCCTGAATAAAAACCGTTATGTTGTAAATATATATATATACGTACTGCCATCTGGTGTTGTTGATATAAAAAACGGAGATACAGAAGAAACTGCCCGTTCTTCAGAAATGATCCCTTCTCTTGCTTGAGGGGGTTCATTAGCCTTTCTCAACCGAAACTTTTCTTTTTTTAGAAGGCTAACGAGAACATCTATAATTTTGTCAAGGATGTATGAGTACTAAAGTCATCAACCAATCTGGCAAGGCAATGGTAAAAACAAAAACATTAATGTACTTTTTCTAGAACATCGTAAAAAAAAGATCTGAATTATTATTTCACTGTTCGGTTAGGTTTAGAGATAAAAATGATAAACAAAATTTCCTTACGTCTTCTGACCTACATTAATTGCCCTGTCCATATCGAAAACTTAAGTAAGATTTGAAAGATCGAAAGAGAAATGGGATGTGGAGGAATGTCATAGACCTTTTTCATGACGTTTAAATATTCTCTTGTCATGAATATCAAATATTATCTCGATAACGATGCTTACATCGATTTGAAAAATACTTGAACAGTTTCATTGGTGAAATTTGTCACGTGTAGTAGAGAATATATTTTTCTATCAGTCCCTCGATAGTTCTGCAGTAACTTTGGGACCTAATTATACTTCTAAATACCGAGGATCAATTTGTCGTGGTGGACACAATGCAGGAAGACCATTGTGTTGCTATGCGAACTTTCAAATGAAAAATAAAATCTATAGTCATAAGTAATATATTTCACAAAGCGAATGAATATACCTGTTTATTTACGGAACCTGTAGTGAGAACTGATTATACTAGAAATTTTGATATATTAAATACATAACGAAAAAGTTCCCATCACCTTGCACGAAGGGGGGGGGGGTGATAATCAGGTACAAAATGATCTTTATTTTGGATACTAATTTCATCGTCTCTTCGTCTCACAGTATCCCTTAGTTCCTCCAACAACCGTTCTTTGTCTTCAGAGTCGGTTGATGTTTGACAAGTACAACAGTGGCCCTCATCAGTTTTTGGTCTTTCAATTTGTTGGTTTCTTACTAAGGTCTAATGGCGAAAAAAAAGAGCATTAATCAGAACTAATGTGTTTATTGAATTCTGACAATTGTACATTTGATATTGCAAAGTAAAGTTGTTTCCTTGAAATTTCTAAAACATGTACAATTGTGTAAGGTGCTGTTGTCGTCCTTTACACTAACAACTCTTACCAAAATCAATGTCTAATTTTCTCCTACAAAGATATGGAAGCTAAAACACAGGAACATTTACGTTATTCATGTTAGTTCACCAAATGATGGTCTCATGGGTTTATGAAGTTATCCATTACTATGGTTTCACCTACCTGGATGGTACTGACTTAACAAAATTATTGTATTTCTATACGTACATCATCGATACACAAAACTAATAGTATAGATGCCATTATATATGTTTTGCTGATTTTCCAGTCGACCTTTGTTTTGTTCACAGAATCAGACCTTAATTATTACAACATTCACAAATAGCTCTGACACTACATCGGACATTTATCAGAACTGTTTATCTGAAGGTAACAACAGTGTAGTACCTGACCTTTACGGTCCAGAAATGGTCGTCAAGGCATCAAAGAACTTTTTAGTGTTTTGATTTCTACATAG